TGTTGCTGATGTTGTCGTTGTGGTTGTGGTCGTGGTTGTGGTGGTTGCAGTTGCAGTTGCAGTTTCAGTTGCTGCTGCTGCTGCTGCTGCTGCTGCCGCTGCTGCTGCTGCTGCTGCTGCTGCTATCTGCTGCTGCTGCTGCTGCTGCTGCTGCTGCTGCTACAGTTACGTGCGCGACGACGACGATGACGACTACTACTTCTGACTACTACCAGCACCGCTACCACTACCAGTGCTATCCGGTGCTCTTAACAACGGCGACGACGACTGCTACGGTTTTTAGTATTAGCTGGTGTTGGCTGGCTCTACCAGTGCCATGTCTACCATTCTACCTGTGCTGCTACAGTACCACCGGTGTTACGCCAATTACATGTGCGCAGACGCACATCTGTATATTGTTTTACGTGCTGCATTTTCTACCTGCAAGGATAAAGGGCTGGGTCCGCAGCGCGCCGCGCTTCTTTTGCCGAAATGTTGCCTTATCTGCAGGAGAATCGTGGATTGCTTCTTGGGGTATGGATTGATGGAAGAAGCATTCTGAAAAACATTCTGCTTCGCACTAGGCAGCAAGATCAGCGTTGTGTCAGTGTAACCCGCTTGTACCCCTGCTCCGTGCTCATGCAGTCGCACGTAACACTTCGTGTGGCCTTGTAGTCTCGCCAATCCTCAAGAACGGTGACAGTTGATTCCTGAGCACGAGCAGTATGAAAGTTACAACAGCAGCAACCCACCGAAGACATCACCAGCTCATGGTCGGGCGGTTGCTTCGGTAGATATCCCAAGAAATACGTCATCTTTCGCAGTCACGCTGCGTCATGTTCAGAGCACTACTTAAATTCGACAAGCCATGTCTCGAAAGAGAAGGGAATGCCCAAGAGTCGCCAGCGACCTGGGGACAAAACACAGGAACGTCATTGTCACCTCTCGATCCTGGGCATTCTGCACTTACCAACACAATGACGTTTTGGGTCTTTTCGTTTCGAACTATGTGCGACGGCTGCTCAAGTGGCCTGTCACGCCATGAGCAGGTGCTGGCACTTGGGGTCCTTGCCGGTTTTGCTGACCTCGACCTCTAGACGAGACTGCTGAGGCGCCATGGACAAGCTGCCAGCTGGATGCGACCGCTTCCAAGGGTGTGGCCAATTTCTGGTTGCCTCTCTCGGCCAGAAGCCTCTACTAACTCTACTAGCCCAGCGACACGGCTAAGCCGGCTAGGCTGGGTTCTGCAGCGAAGGAGCGCCTGCGCGAGTTGCAAGACTGCACGTGCTCGGAGAACACCTTTTCGCTCTCCTGTCACAAGAGAAGCCGTGCGACATTGCAATCTACTATCAATATACTTCTCCTGCGACGCTCTTACATTGGTAGCAGCAAGCGCCATGCATCAAAGTGTGATCCAGCGCTGTGCAAGGTCGCGATGTTGTCGAATGTCGCACTTTCCTAAATTTGTTGTCGGTGCAACAAGCACCTGTCAAGCATTGTAACACATATCCAGGCATGCATCGGATGCCTTCGCATCGGTCAGCCAGGTAAAGACTTTGAGTGCACCATGAGCCAGGCCTGCGACTGCTTGTGCTGTGCTCTTGCGTGAGCGCCCGGTGAGGCCGAGAACAAGCTGAGACCCCCCACGAAGCGCGCCAGAAACTGCCTGGGCTATGATTGCTAGGTAAGCTACAACATGTTTGGGTCCCTCACCTGTGCAGGCATGACAGTTTTGCTTCACACCGAAGGAGTGGCAAACTTCCGTTCAACTGCCTGCTTCTAACTCGCAGAACCGACACTGAAATCATGGTCCGATTGTGATGATCTGACTGACGGAACCTGCTAACCGCCAAGTTGCAAAGAGTCCATTCTGCTCTCCCGCACGCATACTTTGCACCTTAGTGGTACTGGGATGTGCTGGGTCTTTCCAGCAATGGCAGAAAGTCTATCCGACAAACTCCTGGATCCTCCTCAGCTAGCGACACTTGGCTCGTCACTGGAAATATTGCTGTACCTCTCGTAACCCAAAACGTGACACATGCTTTGCTACTGAGAGGGAATGTCGAACAAGCACCATCCACCATGCTTCTTCTTAGTCTTAGATCGCTACAGGTAGCAGCTAACGTGTGTTCACGCGACAAAGCTTCCCGTCACACCGTCGCCCGATCCCACATCAGTAGGAGCTTGGCATACTAAGCAGATCTGCAGGGTCCGTGTTGTCCTGGAGCTTGAGCTCGTAGAAGTCGTTGTCCACCAAGCTTGCAGGTTGGAGAGCATGCCAAGCTTTGCGCTAAAAAGTAGCCACCACAGTCTCGTTTCTCACCAGGCCTCACTCTCGAAGGCCACAGGTTCATCCCCAGCCCTGAGATCCAAAAGCTCAGAAGCCTTAGCAAAGCTGCTCCAGAGTCCATGAAGGAATTCTTCTGGGAAGCTCTGTATGCTCTGTAAGCATGCGCAGAAGAAGAATCAAGTCTCTAAGAGCTGTCCAACAGGTGAGTCGCAAGGTGCCGACAGGGCGAGGCCCAGGAAGCAAACACAACACCTGAGAAGTAACACATCCCACCCAGGTGTGTTTCTTGTGGGATGTGCACCTAGCGCAGTCACATCTCAATGCAGACTAATTGGTCCATGACTGTCCCAGCCGGTCCCCGCCTGGAGCGAGTCCGCCATGTCGAATGCATGACTCACGTTGAATTATTTCTTCTTGAAGTTTACAGTTTTTTATGGTGATCCTATGGGCTTCGGTCGTTCATTCAGCAGCATCTGTTTGCAGTTGGCTTGCCTCTTGGTTTCGGTGAAGTGCCACCGAGCAGGCAGCACGAATGTAAGCGGAGCTGGGAATGGGTGAGGGGGATGGTGAGGGGTTAAGTACGTCTTGCACCAGTCGTTTGATGCTTTGCCTCAAGGTCCTGCTGCCTACACGGCTGCGGACTGAATACACCGGATTGCGACATGTGAAACTTGGCACATGAGATCCACATCACCAAGCGTTCTGACCATCCAAGCGACCAACAGGTCGCTTGACACTCTGCAAGGCATGACGGGGCACCGGAGATGCCCTCGCCGACAAACAGGAGCTGCCTCGGCATCGCCATGTAACAGACAGCAGATTACTGCAGCGAGCTGCATTACTGCCCGCCCAGCATGGAGATCCCGGTTTAAAACGTCTAAGTCCTCGATGGAGCGTGCTTTCCTTCTGAAACTCCCTAACACATGCGATGGCTGAAATCCAGTCGGCAGAGCTCCAGGTTTCCCAGCTTCAGCGCCAGAAGTGGAGCGAAGTCCTCTGGAAAATCGTCTGATGCCTTGCGTTGACAATTTCTGCACGGCGACTCTGCCAAAGGAAGTGCCATGTGCTCCTGCACGAAGCTCCTTATTTTACCGAGCCAACCCCGTGCTTGTGTTGCAAGACCTCGCAAGTTTGAGATCCCGGCTGACCACTCCAAGGATATGCGCGGCTCTGCCGCTGCATCCTGGCGACAGTGTCTGACGTCTGACTGCTGTGCTCTGCTATGGTGTGTTAGCTGCTACAATTGCTAAGACGACTTTAACTCGACATCTTCTGACCATGGACCATGGCCCCACGGAAATGCGTATCCGAGGCCCCTGGCTCGTGAGGTTCTCACAGGAACCAAACCAATACACTGTCTTCCTCACAGCTGCGCTACAATGGTGACTTTTCAATGTCGCTTTAGATGTCCACATCCCTCACCAAAACATGTCCAAGAAATCTCCTTGAGATCAGGACTTGGGGTTCCAAGGCCTCGCAGGACCGGCAGCGGGGTGCCGTGACCGAGGCCAAATGGAAGGCCCAAAGCCTTTGAAGGCAGATGGAATCGGCACAGCTTCCAATTCGGAGCTGTTGAGGATCCAGGTTGTTGTTGAATATTTGTTGTGGTGTTTTTTCCTGTTGTTTGTATGGTTTCCGGTGGGATCCATAGTCCATATACAAAACCTGCAAAAGTCACAGGGCTGGAGAGAACTGAGGCGGTATCCGAGGTCTTTTCTTTGGTGTATTTTATGGCTTTCGGCCTACTGGTCTTCGGTCACTCAGTCTGTAGAATCCGTCGGTCCGACCCCGCCAGACTATCCGGTTGCCTTCCGTGCCAGTTCAAGCTCTGGGCGTCTCGGCTTTATGGCTTTGCGCTCTTGATGGCACGATGGTTTCCAAAGCAAGATTGCGCGGATCAAACTAAAGCGGGTGGAGGGGGGGGGGTTGGGCTTAAAAGGTCTTATACGAGATATGTGCTTCACGTGATACGACTAATTGCAAATGGCCGAATAGCATTCTTGAGGGTACGACGTTGGCTGAAGTTGGGGGGGGGGGGTGGCGCAGCCCTCCCCCCATCTGCAAACGCAATGCCAGGACACTAGCGGTTCATCACAACTGAAACACGCGCCCTCGTTTGACGATTCGGTTCAGCATATATCATATATCTTCAAAACGCCCGTCACTTGGTGATTCCGCTTCATCATGTATCATACACATGCCCCCTCATATTGGCGATAACGGTTCATCATATATCTGAACAGGCCCCCTCATGTCGCGATATCGCTAAACATACCCCCCAATACCCCCCACATGGAGATAACGGTCCATCATACATCTCAAACACGCTCCTACATTTGGCGACTACGGTTCATCACATATCTTAAACACGCCCCCTCATTTGGCGAATCCGGTTCATCACATATCCTAAACACGCCCCTCATTGCGCTTCCGGTTCATCATAAATCTTAAACACGCCCCCTCATTTGGCGATATCCGTTCATCATACATGTTGAACAAGCCCCCTCGTGTGGCGATAACGGATTGTCATACATCTTAAACACGCCGGCTGATTTGGCCATAGCGGTTCATCATATAATATGTTAAACATGCACCCAAATTTGGCGAAAACGGCTCATCGTATATCTTAAACACACCCCCACGTTTGGCGAAAACGGTTCACCATATTTCTTAAGCACGCCCCTTCATTTGGCGAGCCCCATTCCTCATACATGTTAAACACTCCCCCTCGTTTGGAGCTTCCGGCTCATCATATATCTTAAACCTGCCACATATGGCGACAACAAATTATCATATATCTGAAACACGCCGTCCCCTTATTTGATGATTTCGGTGCATCATATACCTTAACATGCCCCCTCATTTGGGTAAAGCGGTTCATCACATATCTTACACACGCCCCTCATTTGGCGTCTTCGGCTCATCATACATGTTAAACACGCCCCCTCATTCGGCGATTCCGGTTCATCATACATGTTCAACACACGCCTCATTTGGCCCCCTGATTTGGCGATAACGGTTCATCACGTATCGTGAACACCCCCTCATTTGGCGATTCCGGCTCAGCTTAAACATGGTGACACGTATTCGAGTGACTCCGGACGGTTTGCACGTCAGTTTTGTGTAGTGCAGGCTCAAAAATGCGCGAAACTGTTGTTTCAGCACATTATTGCTCGGGGGACGACTTATATGGAAGAGCGCGATCCTCGAGAGGGGTCACTTGGAATGGGGCATTTTGTGCGTTTTACAGTGGTTTTGAGGACATTTTGAAGCAAGCGTTCGAGCAAAACTTTGCGTGGATGACGACTTCACAGGTATTAGCTTGGACTGGAAGTGGAAAGTTGCAGAAACCCATCCAACAAAACATCATCGGCAGTAGTATTCTGCAACGAAGCCCCGTTCCGGAAGATATGCTTGTATAGTATGTGTTCGATATGACTTCAACTCCAAATACCCAGGAGTACTGGGATCCCGAGCCCTATACTCGAAGAACGATACGGAGCAGAACAAGAGCAACATCACTGCAGCACCATCACCAGTTAGAACAACAGCAGCGGCAGCAGCAGCAACAACACCAAGAAAAACAAGAGGAACCACAACCACAACATCAACAACGACGCCGCCATCATCAGCACTAGCAGCACAACCACCCAGATTACAAACAGCTACCATCGAGAATCTGAGATTAACTGGAGAACCTATACCTGAAAGCGGAACGTTTGGAGAACATTTCCTGACGCAAGTGGCAGCATCAGACGTCTTAACAAAGCTGAGACCCTAAGGCCTTGGGCCCTGTGGCCAAGCACAAGTACATGTTCGGCCGTACATGGCCAGGAATGAAGCCCCTGCAACATTCCTATGGCAGTATATGATCTTATGATAGAACATGACAGCATTGTTTATGTTTGGGAGTCCACACGGATGTTATTAGGCCCCCCCCCCCCTCCCACCCCCGAAGGTCCCGACGACGCAGCTTTTTCTAGAATTAAGCCAAAACCCGATTTTTAAGCATGTCCGAAGCCTGAAACCTGCAAAATCTCCGGAGTCACTGGAATACATCTCACCTTAAACATGCCCCCTCATATGGCGATACCGGCTCACCATATATCTTAAAAGCGCCCCTTATCTGGCGATCTCGGCTGCAGGTTAAACACACCGGCTCATTTATAAATTGACGACAACGGCTCACCATATTTTTTAAACATGCCTCACATGGCCCCACCTTGGGCGTTCATCATATATCTTAAACCATGCCCCCTCGATTGGCGATATCGGTTCACAATATATCTTAAACACGCCCCTTCATTTGGTGATTCTGGGTCCCCATAGGAGTCCTCATACATGTTGAACACGCCCCTCATTTGGAGACTGCGGCTCATCATATATCTTAAACACTGGCGGGCCGACTGACTGACTGCCTGGCGCTGGGCGCCCGACTGGCACTGACCGGCGGGCTCGCGGATCGACGGACGACTGACTGATTGGCGCACGGCACCGACCGACTGACTGACTGCCCCGCGGGCTCGCGGATCGAGCTGCTATAATCGTACTGAGACATCCACCGTTGACTGGCAATATATGCCTGTGGTAGTGGTCTGGACACAACACAGAAACGGAATCGTGACGTCATAGCATTGTATGCGAATTTTTCAGAATTTCAGAAATCGCCTGGCCGCCTGGGACTGCTCCGTTTGTTCCGTGTACAGTAGTCAGTGTAGTACAGACAGTAAATTGTAGTCTTCACACGGCCTCTAGACATGTCGCACACAGCCGTCCGTGTAGGCAGCCGGCGCATAGCACCAAAGCGCCGCCAGCACACAGGAGATAAGCAGCAAACTACCTTGACTGAGTGGCCTATCTATGTAATGTGACAAACAACTTCACACCAGCTTACCGCTGTGGCTGGCCACAGACAGCTTGGACCCGAACTTCCTGCAAATCGCACCTCAGACCCACAGCGAAGCAAAACGGTAGACGTCTTGGCAGTCCTAGCTCCACCACAGGCTCTTACGCGCTTGCTTGGGTGACTGGCCACCCACTGGTGGGAATGACAGATTACACCGACTTTCACCCAAGCGTTAAGGCATCTCAGTCGAGGAAACGAGGGTCCTTCGCTCCCTGGGCCTGACGCAGAGGTCCGCCGGCAGACTACCATGTGGCTACCGGTATCCGAGCGTCAGACAAAGTCAGGCACATGATCTCCAGCGTACAGGATGGCGAGGCCCTGGTACCGCTGCAAATGACTTTAAAACACGACTGTTTACCAGCGACCTGCCACGACATTAAACCTCCTGGACAGGCTTTGGCAGCGAGAAGTCCTCTTTCTCAGCACAGGGTCACAAAACATGCCCAGCAAGACCAGGATGCCCGGCGACAGGAACCCAGCAGCTCCAGTCAACGGGCCGACCATGGGTGGCAAGCTGTTCGGTCTTGTCGCTTTTCCATGAGTTGCTCTGGCTGGTTGGAAGGCTTGCTGGTGGAGTCTGCAAGCGTGATGCGTGCGTTCCGGCTCGTCCGACACATGCCGGATAAATTAAGGAAATCAGGTTTTACTTGGAAGTGTTTCAGAGGTCGATCTCGATGTCTCAGCTACGTCCATGAACAAAAAAACACCAAAACCAATGCTCGTAAAGGTGCCGCCTGCCACCACGCAAACCCTGCGCTTTAATCAAAGCAGAGACTCTGCCCGAGATTTTGGCTGCGAAGATGTGAGCTCCTACGGAGCCGCGCGAACCGTTCAACTCATGTCTCGGCAAGGCCGCGAGACCCTTGCCTACTCGGCTGCTGCCACGGCTGCCAAGGTGTCATGGTCGTGAAAAGCGCAGCTTAACAGTCAGTCAGATCACGGAGGTCAGTCTGGGAAAATCTGGCGATTGTAAAAGCGGCTTGTCTGTCGTGAGCTGACTGCTAGTGTTGGCCAATTCTCCCGAGCTGCACGCAACCCCCCTCGGAGCATTCTTATTACGCGTCCTCCTAGAAATCGCACATGCATGTCGGAATACCTGCCTTGTTGCAGTGCGGAAAAACTTGCAGCGACAAAATAGGCAGATGGTGGCCACACGGCTGCGCCGTTTGTCGACAATCATCGGTCTTGAATACGTGAGTAGTGGGCAGGAACGGCAGAGGCATGGCCGGGGACCTGAAAACTTCGCAAGTCCCCATGCTAGTATTGCTTGCGAGTGCTACTTTGACTTGAGTCTTTGCACTTGTCCACTGGCTGTCTTGACTTAGGGTACAGACGGAGCCGTGCCGAGTCACCTAATTTAAGCGCTTAAGCGCTGCCTTTCGGGCTGGGTCAAAAATAGCCCCTACACCCGAGTTGCAACACAAGCGTCAATGCTCTCAATCCATCAAAGTGCTTCAAAGATGAAATTGTTGGCATGATATGAATGCCTTGTGCAGAAACCGGCTTGAGCTGGCTGCAGAAATGATCAGCATCCCTTTGGGATGCTTGCACGAAGCTCGTGCACCTGAACTTCCTAGCCTCCATCGCACAAGTCCTCTGGGTCGGTTACAGGCCACCATACCAGGGCCCGCCCGATCCCGTTGTAACCTGACTCGGGGCAGAAGCCCAGAACGTAGTTCAATCCGTTCGACAAGATGATAAGGAAGAGCACAGTGTGGAACTGTGCTACGGCAATCGCTGCGAAATGAGCCCAGAAGGGTAGCTGGCCGAAGCTGTCCACGTCGCCATATGCAAAGTCGAATGCCGCCCGAAGCTTCCAACACTTCCTCAAAACGGTGATGACATGTGATGACCCCCTGTCCCATCTAGGCATCAAGGCACCAAGTTGACATGCCTTTCCTGCCAGTAAAACCAACACAGCATTGGCTCAAAGCCCCAAACGAAACCGCTACAAATCGCTACAACTGTGCTCAAAACACAAACACAAACTTCAGCAGATTTCAGCAGCAGAGCGGCGGTTTGAGTTCCTTTGACAAGTTAACCGCTGGGATGGGCACGCCCGCTTGTTGGTCGTCAAGCCAAGCTTTGGGAACAATCTGCTTGAAGCTTGATGCCAAGGACTCGTGAGAGCTTTTGGTCGCGTTTGCAACCATGATTTCAACCTGCGGTGCACTACATGCAGACATCCATGACAATCGATCCGAATAATACTGAAGGGAGCTGACATGCTTCTCCGACCAAACTGTAGCTTCTTCTACATAGTAGCTTGAAAATGATGTTAGCTACCGCTATGGGGTCGACGAGCTTGAAGACGGCACTCGTACAACGAGCACAAAAATGCCAGGCCTCTTCGTCAGTGATTTGCCGCGGCTTCGGATGCACACGCAGGTCTAGTCTTTCCTCGGCTGCACAGCAACTTGCGACACTTTTGTCTTGCATTTCTTGCCCTGCTACAGGAAAAAACTGCAGCAACTCGCTATGCTCACTCGAGATTTGGAGGCATCTCAGAAGGAACTCTCAAGCACGATGAAGCTGCACTCGATGCTTTTGGTGTAGACAAACTGTGTAGGCATTGGTCATTGGGCCGAAAACAATGCAGGGACTAGTCAGTAGCTTTGCATCTGTGTCAGTAATGCTCACATCGACAACACGAGCACATGCCTAAAGAAGCAGAAAACATCAGCTCCAGAGCGCAGGTGCATGGCAGAATCACGGGATGATACCCATCTTAAAACGGTCCAAAAGCTGTACCAGCAGAACATAGTAACGAAAGGATCCAAGACTCGAGTGCCAAGGAGATGATGTCTTCCAGGATCTCGGCGGCAAACATTGCCAGCAGCGCCCAGCCGATGAACTCCTAGCGAAAAACGGCCACTTAACAGTTTAACACCAGTCCAGGCCCCTCTGATAGCAGAGCAGTTTTCCAAGATCCAAAGACTTCTGAAACAGTCTCAATGTCGACGCAGGAGAATGGGTTTTGGGTTGGTGCTACATGGATGCTTCAACCAAAGCTGCCAGAGGCTGATTCTTGGGCAGGACCTCATTCAGCGTGCACAGCCTCGCCAGGGCTATGGCCGCCACAGCAAAGAACCTTCCGGACATCATCAGCACGGAAAGGATGTTAGGTCGCAGTCGGCAGCATTGACTGACCAGAAAGCTAGGAAAGGTTCGAGCATTCACGGTTAATCGGCTTGTCGAGCCACCACGGCAGCTTGCAGCGCAGTACTTCTGTCAGAACATGTCAGAACTGTGCCGACATAAAGAAACGAAACATGTTGCAAAACCAGCTTTTGAAGAAAGCTGCCCTGTAACGGGTCAAGGATTGCCCTCGCTTCCTTTGTCTGCAACCTGGCGTTCCAGTCGGCCTGAAATCTACGGCATCCCCTTTGTGCATAAGTAAGCACATGCTGGCGTACCTGGGGTATCCCATGCAGTACTTCACTTTCTGTAGGAGCAGGCTTGAGTTCGTCGGCGTTCTCCACCCTCAGTGCCATCAGTAGGAGTCATGAAGCATCTGCATTGCCACTTAATTGTGTTGCCATGCGGCCTGAACTCTGGGTGACCACGAGGTGTCTACGGAGTCTACGGCACAAGCAAACTTCACAGCAAGCGGGCAAACATTATGCTCATGGAGGCTTGCTGCAGGCCAGGATGCCGCAGGTAACAAGTGCCGCAAAGCGATCTAGGTATCCCGCACGGACCGTAGCATTCCTTGCGGGCGGGGGTAGACTGCACTGCTCCTGAAAAGAATTATGCAACCCACAGGTCAGGCAAACTGCGGGCAGAACTTTGCAAATCAGCACAAAGGGGTTGTGAGACAAAGAGGCAAGAGAAGAAACATGCGGCAATCATCTACGTTCGCATCTTTGCTGGTCACTCTACCGATGCAACCGAAAGCTGGACCAAGCTCCCCCGGTTCAGCAATGGCTCCACACGACTCCAGAACAAATCGGGACCAGGAAGTCAAGATGTGTCTCGTCGTGAGCAATGTCCACCTAGAGCACGAGATTATCAAGCGGCTGCTCACTCTGCACCGCACCGAGATCCGCAGCTATCAGGTATCGGATGAACACATCTCACCGACGTAGGGATATCTAGCCAACGTCGAGAAGCATGCTGAGAAACACAGTAGCTCCACGTCCCTCCCCTGCCCCTATCCCACCCTCCTCACACCCACCCGTGCACAAGCCCGCTGCCCAGCCCACCCTCCCAGCTCCCCACCCACACACCCTGGCAAGCTTAGCTGTCTCTCGTATATAGCTGAGCAGCCAAAATCAATGTGAGCCTTGCACCCTCAGCTAAAGCGTGGATCATGGCAATGGCGAGGGAAATCACGACTCCCTGGTTGTCACGACAATACCTCAGGCGGTGGAACTTGCAGCGCATGCTACAGCATCGAGATATCACATCGAAAGACCCTATGTCTGCACGAAACGATGGGTCTCAAACGGCATGCAAGCGCAGATCTATGAACTTGCAGGCAAGATTTCACTAGACCTAATGCTTGACTGCAAACAGTCGACATCAGTCGACTTCAGCAGCACCAGGGGCTTGCGGCGGACAGCTTTCTCCTGTAGTGTAGGCAAGCGATTCACACTGTCTTGATAGGAAAAACGGTAGTAATGCTTATGTCTCGAAAAAGCACAGTAGAACTCGGCAGAGCAAGTACCAGCACCATGCACAGCGGGATCTTCTTGGGATTGCCTATCGACTTGACGCCACAATTTCTATAGGTTCTGTTTGAATGCGTCAAAGTGATCCCGCAGGGCACGTGCACAATGTGGGTTCTGAGCGTTCCTGCACGAACTCGGCCGAGAAGTTGCTCGCGATGATGTGCAGGCACAGCAGCTCATAACCGCTCAGCATGAAGGGCATCAGCACGCCTTCTGTAGAGCTGGTTCCCTAGATACTTTATGGATGATGTGGATGGCTTCGTGTTGCTTCAGAACTGGGCGAATCCGCATCAGCTGGGGCAATGGCCGCCTTGTTGCAGAAGGCAAAAAGAACAACCTAAACCCCGAACAATCTTCCGCTTGGTCACAGTTGACCCTCAGCTAATCCTAGAAGCCCAGTTACCCAAAACGGGAATCGTAAAAATTGCGGGGAGGACCTTGTTCGAGGTTCTTATAAAGAGGATCCGGTTCTACGGGTGTCTATATTTGGGTTTCCTTGTTCTCTCAAGCTGACATACCCTTCAGTCACAGCCTGACGGCAGAGAACGTCCACGCCTGAAGCTTACGACCCCACGTCGTCGGACAGAAGGACGGAAGAGGTCGCAGGGTCCCCTCCCCAACCCACTCAAGCTCGCGAAAAAAAAGGATGAAAGATCAACGAATCTTCGCAATCTACCCAGAAGCTCGACAGCAAGCATCCCGCCATATCCCGCCAACCAAACTCCCCTGTCCGTTCACCTTTTTGCAAGTACAGCCCTTCGGCAATCGGCCTAGCCATGGTCCACTGTGTCGTCTGGCCACTCCGTAGCCGGAGGTTCCGATGAAAAACCCTACCTTGCAAAATGAGACAGCGAGTGGGCTGATCTCGAAAGTGATTTAGCTGACCCAATCTAACAATGCCTAAAAGCGATGAATGAAGTTCGGGAAGGGGTGCGCAGCTTCTCACGGTGAAAGGGATGCAAGACGTCCCTGGACTGTTTTAATTTTGCTCGCCTGCACGTGAATTGCCGAGTAAAGTACTCCTGCCTGTTTACATAAGCATAAGGCAAGGCACCAAGGCTGGCCCCAGAGTGCAAGGCCCCATCTTCCTTGCGTTGTGCATGCCGCTTATCCACTGAACTTACCAGATCATGAGGCCGTAGCAAAGGGCAGCTCAAACGACCCTGCAGCTTCGCTACGGCCACTCACTGATGCCTCACCATGCGAAGGAGCTGCCTGAACCCTATCCATTCTTCGCTGATCTCTGAAAAGCTTGAAGACGTGCGCACGAAGTAGCACCTACTCAGCCTGGCAGTGAAAACCTCTGGTTTACTGCCGAATCTCGATGCATACCTCTCGTCCAGCGGCGTGAGGACGCGGAAAATCTGACCCACGGCCTGTTCCGAGTGCGAACTGAAACAAAACGACAGTCTCCGGGGCCAAAGAAAGCCTCGCCAACCACGATGGCGATTATGTGACCCACGCCATAGGCCAAGACGAAGCCAGGGTGCTGATACTCCTGCAAACACTTCGGAACTTCAAGCTTCCGCTGCACTCATGCAGGTGCATTGACCGAACAGCATCAGCCAGGACCTGAAGAGAAGGTCTCAGATCGCTACCGACAGTACCAGGACCAACTGCAAACACCCTCCGACCGTGCTGTCTGCAAGAGCGAGCAGTGTCAAATTCATGCATGTCCGCTACGTGGAACTTCGTGTTGAACAGCTTTCGAATCATGGCCACGAGTGGTGCTACCATGCAGCCTCCCCCAAGTAGAGCGAAAAGAACGCCGCGTACAAGGAGAAGAAGAGGGCAATCATTAGTGCGGCATCACGCCTCAGTCCAGTAGTAAGTCATCTGGGAAGATCAGCGACATCTAACCATCTTTCATGCACGTGTGTAGGTGCATCTCATGACTCATGGACCTTTGCAGCATGCCCGAGGTCGGGGGTCTCAACCACTCGAGACTCAAACTTGAGAGGCCTGTCTTGCTGCCTGGTGGCCATGCTCTTCGTGTGCTGAGGCCGTGCTCGACAGCATACTCCGCAGACATTGTCGGCGACAGAGCCGTCCTGACTTTTTGTGCACAAAGCAGGATACATGCAACATCGACGTCAGTGGTGCAAGGGAGTTTTTTGCAGATACGAGCTGAAAAAAACACCTCAAGTCGTAGAAAGGGTTCTGTCGATCAAGGGCCTGGCCTCATTACGAAGTTTGCAGCCCGGTCCTGCTGCATACGAGCGCGGTGTCACCGGGGCGGATGCTAGTTAATGTGAAGCCGCGAATGTTCGCAATTGCAATTTGGTGCACAGGCACGAAGTACATGACCGTCCAGCCGAGAACACGAAACACCACGGCAAGGCCGTGGCTTTTGGAGATGCCTGCCGGCCACTCGCGCCGGGGCGCATGGATGACAAGACGCAGTGACAAGCTCGCAAACTCGAACGAAAACTAGCCTGGCAGTCCTTGCTCCGAAACAGCGAAGATCAAGAGGCCTCATCTGTGATTCGAGGTGATGCCCGCACTCAAGGCTCGTGAATTAATTTCTGACAAGGGAAGGAACACGTCGATGCTTCTGCCTCATTGTGCGCTGCTCCAGTTCTGCTAGTGAAGTGAAGGTGAGTCCTCTGACACAGCTGAGAACTGCCACCTCCTTGTATAGCCCGGCCAAGGCCACTTCCAAGTCGCCAAAATGTTCACGAAGAGATACAATAGTACCGCAATGTCACACCACATCAACCGACAGCAACTTCTATCATCACCTGAAGCTGGTCAGTACAAGAGCCGCTGCTGCGAGTCTCAGGGTCCCACCTGCCGTCATGAAGACCATAGATATGAGCGAGGCCACTAAGGTGTCGCGAGGCGTTGGCAAGCACAGTTCCACAGAGCCAAGAGCATGTCTGGCATGCTTTGCTGGCTCACTTACAGGCCTCGGCTGTATCACGTTGAATTCAAACATGAGCCTGTAGCTTCTGTTCTCTTTAGTACCACTCCCTGACATGCCAAAAGCGATGCTCACTCACCTACTTGACAAGTGCCGAAAGCTTGAAGCTTCCTCGAAGCAGGTCGAAATGGGTCGAGGTGCAAAGACACGGGCTGGCCAGTCGGCTGCGTTGGGCTTATTCTCGCGGAAGACGTCAGAGGGGGCGAGGGCTCCGACATCAATCTTCATGAAGGCAAGAAAATGGAGCGGGGCCGTGAATGGGCTCGTTGGTCACACTTATGCAGCAGTCCTGTGGCAGGGAACATTATTCAATCTTGGCTTTGTCGAGTTTGCTCATTGCCCCCGGAATCAAGCAATAAGTACCAGTAGCAGAGTAGTAGTAGAAAATGACAGTAGAACCATGTGTCACGCAAGCGATACAGTCAGAGCCATAAAGCTTCAGCAGATCGGGAAGCTCACAGAAGCCCGGGGAGCCCTCGAAGCGAAGCCGTGCCCTCGATGGGGCCGGCCCTCCTACAGCCAGATACTCGTTCGTGGGAGAAGAAAACTAAAATCTCTTCTCTCACGACTGTGGATTCCCAGTTTCCCGAAAGTCTACAGTTCTCGTCTTCGTTCCGAAAGCTGGAACAAGCTGGAGGATGGAATCTTTTTCCATGGCACTGCGCAGCCACTCACCTGGCAAGCAGCCAGCGGCACGCCCAGGTCCCAGGTTTGCAAATGCACCAATCAAGTGTAGCAACAGGCTTCGTCTAGCTAGCCCGATTGTTTTGTACCATGTGCACTTTAAGCTATGTAGGTTTGCGCTCAAATGCATCTGCACTGCCATCCAGGTCGCCATCCACTGCGTGTGCCCCAGCCATTCCAGGACCAGGACCATGCTGACCTTGGGAAGAAGTGGTTAAAACTCCTGTTGGCAGTACTATGTGGTTCTGTAGGCACGCAACACCGCTAATGTCGATGGGACCTATGATCCCCATTTCACGGGTTCTAAATTCGTCTGTTGGAACCTCAAACCTGAACCGACGGCGGCGCTGCCGCTGCTTGTGGGAGTCCTGTTTCTACGGTCGGGACGAATCCAGACCGGATCTGGAATCAGTGATCCTTGTGGATCTCAACTTGGCGCTGGCCTGGACGAGTTGGGCGATCGAGGAATATAAAATCGGCACCCATGTGATGTCCTCCAATTCCATCCGGGAAACGGACATAGCACCTCCTGCTAGATCGCCAACAGCATGCCAAGATCCTGCCTGAAGCGCCCCATTCAGCCTTTCAAGAGCACATCAACGCCGTTCCAGGCAACAGCTAGCCTAAGCCTGCGAGAGCATTCCCATTGCACTCCACAAGCTTTCCAGCTGTCCGACAGCATTCCCAAAAGCCCTCAAAAGATCACAAGAATGCACAATCATGAACCTGAACACAAATTCCCTTGAACTCCACCAGGGCCCACTGTGCTAAAGGCTTCCCCGCCAGTGATTAACCATGCTTAGCAGGTTGCTGTTATGGCGATGAATCTGTGAAGCCAATTCCCCACGTCGCCTTTCAACAGGCCCATCCGTAAGCCGACTTCTCATGCTCGAGCTTTTCACTGAAATCCAAGCTTCCGGCCACTGCGGGCTCCAAGCAGAGTCCTCGACTGCAAATTTTGATCCACGGCTCTAGACTCTAGCCTCGTGCTGACGAGCATTTGTGCATCGAAAACTAGGACGGGAAACCTAGACAAGCTCGACTTTGGCTCTGTCCTACTTCAGTGCCTCGGCATCCTCAACCTACATCCTGCAGGCTGGCAGCTGCAAATTGAGGCGAGCGGCTCCCCAGTGGCAGTTGGGAAAGGCCGTCTGGCCTGGGCTCTCGTCTGGCGCTGCTTTCTGAAATTTCTCATGCACAGGAGAAAGATGCTAGTGCCCGTCAATCGCTTGAAAGGCACTCAACCAACTCCGCACCATTGCTGGCTTTCAATTGAATGAAACAGAGAAGAGAAGCGCTGTTGAGCAATCTTTCAACTCCAACTCCCCCACAAGTCAAGCAACCTTTAGCTCCACCCGGCTCCGCAGGCTCAGGGTTGGCATGCCCGGGCTGGCCTGCAGAAGCATCGTCTCAAGAGCCACTGTTGCTGATCGGCAGCCGCCTTAATCGTGTCTCCCCGCCTTGCACCGCTCCATCAGCAGACTTTGCTGCCGGCACAGGCTGTGCCACTGCCGTGCCTTGCAGTTTGAGACTTCATGAGAGCTCAACCAGTCATGATTAGCCCTTTCGAGCCCTGGTGAAAAGCATCTCATGCGACCAGCAGCGGACGAAACAAGTTCTTGACGTGTAACCTGTGGAAAGCATCCGGTTCGGTGCTGCCGCGCTGACCGCTGCCGGACCTGTGAGGACTTAAGACTTACACAGACTTACACGGACATAGTAAACCAGCGCAAAGGCTCAGTGTCCTGAAGGCACCACCCGAGAAGAGCCAAGACACACTGCTACGACGCGTGAGGAAAGGAAAGGCGCGCTGTAGGACGGTTCCTACAGGAACATATTTTGAGCTTGGCCCCGATGATGTCGGGATCAAGATCGCAAGAACTCATGAAACAAGAATCGGCCATCATAAATCTTGAGTTCTCCAGTGGAGCCACAGAAATCTTGACATGCAACCAAGATGGCACAAGCTGGCAGCTGGTACAATACAGTAGGATCTTGCAGAGCGCAAGAAGATGCAAGAATACTCTTCGAGAACTGATTGCCGGACCTGCACGGGACATTGCAGGCCGTGACGCTGCACGCGGGGAGCTGCGGTGTTGAAGCTCTGATGCCCCTGCGCCTGAATTTCAACGAGCACCCCGAGTACGAGCGAGAGTGATAGGCAGCGACTTGCAACTCAGGCGTTGCTCAGTCTGTCTGCCAATGACGAGACGCATCTGGGGCTCTACGGCGGTCTGTCTACGTCGTTGAGTCAGCGGCTTCTGTAAGAACTCTCTGGGCTCGAAGCTCTACGGCTCTGCATCAGGCCTGGACTGACCGGGCTCCTCCCGCGTGCACTGCGGGCCGGCACTCGGGCCGGCTGCGAGCCTGGAACCCCACCGAAAGCGGTGCGGTGCAGGGCTGCAGAAAGGGAGTGAACCAGACGCGACACTGCTGAAGTGGTGGCTAGTTCATTCCATGTCGCTAGGTCCTTATGTCACAGGGTCGACAAGTTGGGACGATTCCTAGACCTCTGACCACAGCATCTCGGGCAAGTTGCGACTCCGAAAACTCGCGGCTTCACGACCTCGGGCACTGCGAAAACGGCTGTTCGCTCAAGAAGCAGATGCACGGCAAGTTGTAGAAGGAGCTACGACAGTAGGCTTTTTTACCCTGTACAGACATGCGGACAAGGCATAAAGGGGTTCATAACATTGCTAGTGTGGGTGGGATTGAACTGCTGATAATTGCTGCCGGACACGACAAGCCTTGCAATGCTGCAAACGACCACTCCTGGCCACACCTTGGCCCGCTACCACGAATGCCTCCAAGCGGCCCTGAGCCCAGGGATCTTTGCCTGTGGTCCAGGGATCCTCGCCGCGTGTGCTGCTAGCAGCAGGGATGCCTGGCAAAGAAATCAAGGTCCCTGTACACCGTGAGGCATCGCGTCGTCCATGTCTTGCCTCTTGCATCGTGACCAAGAACTGGTTGAGCAGCCACCTGTTTCTAAACAGTCGAAACTGGGCAGTTGCCGACAAAGAGAAGAACAGGTCGTGAGCGACTTAGGACCGCCGTGAGAGCCTGCTCGGTTTTCGATGTCAACACAGGAGGGAGGGCAAGATCTGCAGCCTGCCGGACGGCTCTGCAAGCCGAGTCACTTGCTACAATGGACAAAACGACAGGGTGGGGATGCGCAGGTAAGCTATTGCCTCGCTCCCGTCAGCAGTGAGACTGCATTTTGAAGCGAACCATTGCCGAAACCTCGAGACTCACCCTTTTCAGCCACATGTTGCACGACGCGTCATGACAGGTCGAAAGACATTTCCCAGATGGTTTCAAAAGCAGGCCACAAGCGCTGATGCTCCGGATCCTTGATGCCGTTGTCCTGAAAGAACAGCGGGTCCAGCCTTTTTTCCGTCTTGGACTCTCCGTCTTCCTCCTGCTGGTGCAGAGAACCACTGGAATATGGTGCATGCAGGCCTGAAGTGTGAGTCTGTCAAAGGGGGGGGTATGCAAGGCACAACTCATCGATGCGACCAACCTGCAGTTTACCGGATGTCAGGTAAGACTGTGACAATTTGGGGGGGGTCTCCTCTATGAGGTAGAGCCGACAGATTTGGTCCACTGTGTCCTCGGCCGAAGTCTCGGAATCCCGAAATACAGTTGAGTCTGGCTAGATCACCTCAAAACTCTGAAGGAAAGTCTCGGGGTTTCTCGTCCCGTTCTTTGTTTATGGATGAAGCAAAGCTCAGGCCCCAGCATAGTTCTCTTCCATTATCTGGAAATAGCAGGTGAAGATGGGACTTATGCTCCGCAGCCAATCTCGTAGCTCCTCCTTAGCTTCAACTTTCGATCTTTCCATTGAAGGTTCTGTCCAGAGCTGTCGCTGCAGCTTTGGCACCGTGAGCCGCTGCCTTGTCGCCTCGTCCACACCCAGCCACCACTCAGACTCCTCCAAGGACCTCCAGCACAAATACACCACGTGACTTGCAAGTCCTACGGTCCTAAGTCCACGTCTCCACGGCCGAGGTGCTCAGGGAGATTTGCATCAGGCTTGAGGTCGGTCTTCGTCCTGTCTGCAGCGATTCGGGTCACAGTACTGTCATCTGATGTCATGCATCCCGGATCTTCTAAGCAAACGACAAGATCCCTGAGCAGAAATACTTCGAGAAAGGGGCTATAGCTTCGATGGATGTCATAGTTCCGTGAGCTGACACCATGTTTGGGTGATCACAATCGGCCACAGTCCTCTGGCAAGCGCTGTTGTCTCGGAGATGAGAAGCCCTTGCGCAGATGGTGCGACAAAGACTTCACTAGCACGGTGGCACTACGGTCCGAAGGATGTGTACTTCACACATCGATACGAACCGAGACGCGTCGAAGCTGGCGGAGAAGAAACATGTTCATGAGGCATTGCATCCTGTTGCGGCGAGCTCCTGCCATCCCGAACCCGAGACGCCATCTACAACAGCCACAAAGCGCTTTGGCGAACTCAGGCAAATGCAGCAACGCTTTCGAGGTCCTCACGATGTCCACCGTCTCGGGCAGTGATGGCTTGGCAACCCTGCAAACAAAAAAAAACACTCGGCCATTGATCACATCAACAACAGTGATCGAACTTGGAGATGACGTCAAAGGCACCTTGGCGGAGGAGCATCAGAGTTCTCAGATGTGGTTGCCGCCGAGGAAGGACCCCGCTCCTGATTTCGAGTAACTCCGCTGCATCTTCGGCAAACTGCCGAAGATGATAGAGTGATACAGGTTGTTTCCCGAAGCACTTTCCAGCTCCTGCATGAAAGCCTTGCTCTGCTCACGGTCGCCAGACACCCTTGCAGGCAATTGCAACTCTACAAGCTTTCCCGGCGAATTAGAGAGTTGTTGATGCAGCACGCACATCGCAGTTCGTCATAAGAGTTCACCGTGTCCTAGGCTTCGCATCTGCCTGTGCCCAAGCTCCTCCGTAGCCTTAGACTGAGACCACCAGTCGCCATACCTTGCTGCGGAGGAGTTAGCCATCGTGGACATGTTCTCTCACTGCCAGTTCTCGCTTCTCGCTGGCTAACCCCAGTTTGCCCGAGACACATTGCAAAGGCCCTCTGCAAGGAATCAGCAGGTAAGAAATAAGAAACAAAGCAGAGCTTCGGCTCGGACGGGCGCGACCACCAGTTGTTGCTCCTCCAAGTGTCTCGGAGCTACAGGCCGACAGGAGCGAAGAAGTACATGCTGAATTGTGGGCCTGGCCCTGCCCGCTACGCTTCTGCAAGAGCTCATGACCGGAGAAAGTCAAAGCCATGAACATGCACAAAAGTGTCCCCCAGTTTTGCTGCTGCCACGACCAGCCCCAGCCATTCCAGGACATGGCGATGCGACGGAGCGCATGGAGGCACCAGGCCACAAGCCTGCACCCAGTTGTTCTGCGAACAGCCCTGCGCTCTGAGACCTGCCTCTCTTGCTCGGTCTTCGGAGTGTGTTGTTCTTCGCTGCAAGCTTGAGAGCAGCTCGCTTGCATGATGCTCAAGGGATTCACAGTTCCACAAGATCTCGCAGCCAACCTGTCGTCGCGAAGCTCTACAGAGCCCTTTTTTGACCACAGCATGTGCTGTACAGAGATCTCGGTCTCAATGCCGTGCGTAACCGCTCAAGCGCCCAGCAGCGCCACGTCGACTCGTGCCTTCGTAGCTGTGGTGGGGAGGTGCAAATTCTTGTTAGCTTAAGCTTCAAGTTTAGAGTGGGGTTTTGGCTCACGTTTAGCATGACATGCATGGCCTTGACCTAGAAAAGTTGAAATCTCCCAAGACATTGAGGCGGATAATCCGGGGTCTGAGGCTACGGAGACGGTTGGGCCGCGAAGAAGCCAGCTGTCCATCGGAGCGTGGAAGGCTTTTGTTTTGACGAGGCCCCTTTAATGAAGTTTGCGCTGAGGCGCTTGAATCTGCGATTCCCGGTTTTCAGGTCCTACTCATGGTCCCAGTCCCAAGTACTCGCGATAGGCATTCAGAGGAACTGAACTGGCCTACTACACACTTCTACGCCTCTGGAGCTGCAGTCCGGGAAATCTTGCCAAGGCCCGAGCTAGGGACTCATCGTCGAGACCCTGACCCTCGTAAGGCAACGCAACGGGGATCACCTCCACTGCACAACCCTCCCAACAGCTTGCGAGCTTATACTTGGGTTGGAGTATATTACTAGAAAGACATATGGATCATGCAAATGACAACCAGCACAATTTTATTGCAAACTAACTCCGTTCCGTGCCTGGCTGCGACGCAACACCCTCAGTCACTTCCAGCAGAAAATATCTGTTTGGTGCAAAGCCACTCGGCAATGTCGTCTGGAGTAATCTTGTTGTCGTATATGGTTGCATAGGGTTGCACCTGTAATTTGCCACATACTGAATCGAGCATGACCATGACGACAATCAATCGGACTCGTATGGTGATGTGCCGGATGTGGTGGATGCCGTGGCTTTGGTGGTGCCGGCAGCGGTCTGGGTTGTGGTCGTGGTGGTGAATAACTACTTGTATCAACTGATGCTATCATCGTCATTGTCATCCGTTTTGCCATTCCTCGCTTTTCCGGCTTAAAGTGACGTACACCTCTGAAAATTCGCTATACTGATCGCTAATCAGCAGTTCTAGTTCTTCGTGCAACACAGTGCCAAGCCTAAAACTAGCATTCACTCACGCGTGGAAGCTCCTGAGCCTTAAGACCCCATCTTTTGACATTTGACCCGGTCTCGGGCTGTGGGTGATGTATTGACTGAGCACAGCACCATGCAGGAGGAGGGTCCTCGCCTGAAAGTCCAAGGGGCATGAAATTGAGTCATGGAGTCATGCACCAAGGCGGGAGTCTTTACCCTTCGATTCTCCCATTGTAGCTGGCCGGACGAGTCTCCCTCGTGGAGTTCGTAGGCTTAAGGTGCAGCAAGCTGGGAACTGCTGCAACTGCAATACTACAGCACTGCTTCCCTGTGCACGTTTCCGTTCGTATCGCAGTAGTCGCATGCACTCGTAGGGTCTGAAATCAAAGCAGTCGACAACAGCGCAAGGGTCATTGGTCCGGTAACTTTCGATGCTTCAGCCTCCAACGTTTCGAAACAGAACTGTTTAAGCTCGCGGCCAAGAGAATCGTCTACCAGGAGAATCCTGAGCTGCCAGAGCAAGTCAGGGGCCTGGAACCGGAATCCGGAACGTGATGGGTTTTGATTCGCGGCCACAGCTCAGCACCTAGAGCGCATGACCCAGCCCATACTGTCGCGCTCATGACAGGAAGTGAGGCTGTGCCTGAGGGGCGAAGCATTCCTCCATCAAACTCTATTTCGCGGCCTCGCCTTGGGATGGTGGGACGCAGGTCTCGCAGCATCAGTGACTTCTGTCCGGTCACGGACATCACCTCAGGGTGGGGCGGCTCGGAGACTCGGAGAAGCCAGAGCAACTGCTTGCCAATCTTTATTTCTGTGATGTTGCGACGTACTTCAACATGCTCGTCTTTACAAGTGACCTTTGGTTTTCGACACCGACTCGACCTTCCTGCCCGACTTTGCGTTAATTCGTTCAACCCTCGCCCTGAATCCAAAGCGCCTTACTTAGCCTTACTTTCTCCCATCCACACAAAGCTTGGCACTGAAGGCATGACAAACTGTGCCACATGCTGCCACTTACATGAAACTGAGGACTTGGATGATGCCAACAGTTTCTTCACCAAGTAGCATGAGGCTGCAGGTGCCTTTTCCGCAAATGGCTGTTGCAGTATGTAACGAGGGAACCGACCAAGCCGAAAGCTTGGCAACCGTTTTCCAAAAAGGAGGAAATTGCAAGACCCATACCATACCCTTTACTCGATAGCTCGAAGACTCAGAGTCAATGCACAGAAACAGCAAGCATCTCCCCAACCGATTGCGCATTCAGCACGTACTTCTTGAGCCCTTCCCTTCCAACAAGATCTACCCCCTGCTGTCATCGCAACTCTCAACGGGTGTTGTGGGCATCCTTCTGAGACGGTTGTTGAGAGGGCTGACTTTGCAACAGCCCTTCACGAACCCCGCCAGGTGTACAAGCTGCCTGATTTATCCCCGCATCTTATCAGTTATCCGTATGCGAGAGTGGAGAGCATGCGCTTTAACTCACATACTGGTGCATTCATTATGAGTTCGACCGTGCACAGCTGGCACAAACTCTTGCAGATGCCCTTGCACCTGGTGCCGGCATGCTCCAACATCCAGAACCAAGTCTGTTGGAAAGAAGTCGTCCTCAGTCAGAACACAGCCGTGCCATATGGAAGCGGGGAGAACGTCAAGAAGGACCAGTGCTCATCCCAAAAGGCTGAAGACTTGTTCAATCACATGTGCTCTGTGTCACACTGCGCATGCGCACGACATGTGCAACAAGAGGCGGCATGCGTAATGGAGACATCAACCACTACAACTCACAAATGCCGGCATGTATGCATGTCTGGTCAGACACCTGTCAACCCGGAATCTGACTGTGCTCACGAGTCATTGTCGGGTCGCCCACTCTGGAACGGCTTCTAGGGCCATGGACACAGAGCTGGCCACGCCGGCAGTTATGATGGCGAAGCACGCTCCCTCCTGGGATCTCGTTCGAGGGAGATGTGCTCACGATGCGAATTTCACTTTTGCAGTCCGAGTGTCTCACCTGCTAGGCGTATCGAAGTGTTTCGAGCGTTGGCAGACCATTGGTTACTTTCGGCCAGTGCAACTATAACCGAGCTACCTGAAGGCATACATTTTATTCACGAGCGGGTAGCCAACCAGGACAAGAATCGTTCTTCTTGGCTGTAAACCAGGCTGTGAGCAGCTTTATCCTTGCCTCGCCTCCAAAGAAGACCTGTCAGCTTGCCAGCGCCGGTTGTATAAAACTGAGAGATTCACGCATAGCACAAATTAGAGAAACTCACAGCGGAGCACATGCCCGCCATGCATAGCAGAGAAGAGAAGTAAGAGAAGTAAAGGAGGAGAGCAGGAAGGCAAGATGCTGAAGGGGCCTCACGAAGCATCTGCTTGAACTTTGGCTCCCCCAGTCTTTTGGCAAGGGCCTCCACCGCCAGAATGATCCTCACGGCAACGCAGGACCTGCCTGCATGCTCAGCCCTTGCGCTGGCCGACGCGGGGTAATATTAGACGATATTAGACGCACATAGCACGCAATGCTACGTCTTTGCGCCTCAAGGTCCTATCGCAAAAATGGATTCTGTGCATGCGAGGCGCGGATGGACGTCCGGTGCCTGGGGCACAGACAGATCTGTGATGCCAGCCTGTCGAACAAGCTATGAGTGGAAACAGGTTGAATCTGGCAGGGGCAGATCGCTCATCCTCCAACGGTCTGGCAAGTTTGCTTTGACTGCCCCAGGCTCAGGTCGAGGCCTGTGAAAGCCTTAACCGCCTTAACCTGAGCACCTACTGAACGCACCTTACGCAGCCATGCCACGAAATCCTGAGAGCGATTCTGAGTTGTGTGACAGAGGCTAGAGACCGAATCCAGCAGGACGAAACCGCAAAAGTGTGTTGTCATTGGCAAGAGACCCGGCAGTGCGGATGGGCTGCAGGCTTCCCCATCACGATTCCGCAGGCCTGGTTTGCATCAAAGATCGAGGGGTTCAGGATCCGTAAGTGGAGCTTCGGCCTCCGGCCGAACTACGTCCCTGTCCGTGCTGATGTGGTTAAGGCGCTAGGCTCGGGGAATGCCTGGGGCTACCTACGAGCTAGCGTGTGCAGCTAGGTCGCCAAGCATTTGTAGAAGTGTCGCACTGTTATCGTGCAATCGAAGTCCAGCCCGATGAAGCCTTTGCTCTCTCCGGTGCACAACCCCCCATCTGCCCTGCCTTTCTTAGCACAGAATGACAGAATGACCCGATGGACGTTCTTGCCTTCACAGGAACCGCACCGACAAGCACACGCAAGTCTTGTTAGAGTCCAGTTGGAGACGTCGGCACTTCAGCCTAATCGCACAGCCACGTGACCGCTGGAGGCTGCTACATGTCGTGGTGGCGCTCCGCGGCTGCGACTTCGACGAGCCCTTGCCTCCGGATCCTCGGCCTCAGGATGTGGTCGCAGGATGGTTTTTCCCTATGGCAGCAGCGATCACTATCACAATTGCCGACTGGGACGGCGTGGCAAAGCGATCATATGGATGCTGGCAAACCTGCGAGTCAAGTTACCATGGCAGATGAGCCTGATGTCTGCTTCGAGCTATCAGCAGCAGGGCATGGCGGCCAATGGATATTGGAAAATCAGGCAATCACCTATGTAGGTAGAGAATCATCTTGCGAGCAAAGCATTGCATGTTACTACAGGCTTTACTTTGCTGCTGAGCTTTCAGGCATGAGGTTAAGGGAGTCTGTCTGATTCTTCAAAGATTACTATTACTCCTCGGGGTTTGGCTCATGCTCGGCACAGCCAGGCAAGGATTCAGACTAGAACGTCAAAAGCGCCCTCGCCAGTGTAAACCGTAATTGAATTGTGCCGCTGGCCCAAAACAGCTGTAGGCCGTAAGGAATGCAACAGCAACAGACTTGCAATCACAAAGTAAAACATCTAGACAAAGCACACCTGACAAAAACAAACATACATACATACATATATATATACACTAAATATATAATAAATATATAAAAAAATGTATAATAAGTGTATAATATGTATATAATAAATATATAATAAATATATAACAAATATATAATAAATATATAATAAATATATACTAGATATATAATAAATATATAATACATACCTGCGTAATCCTGCGTACCTAACCACGTGCATACCTACATACAGCCATACATTGACATAGATTGACAGACAGACAGACAGACAGACAGACAGACAGACCGACAGACAGACAGACAGACAGACAGACAGAGACAGACAGACAGACATACAGACAGACATGCAGACAGACATACAGACAGACACGCAGCAAACAGACAGACAGGCAGGCAGGCAGGCAGGCAGGCAGGTAGGCAGGCAGGCAGGCAGGCAGGCGAACAGACATATATACATACATACATCACATACATGCATTCATGTCTTGCTTGCTTGTGGTCAAGAACATGCTTCCCTCCCCCTGCGCATCCGCGCTACGAGTCGGCATGAGACTGAGAGGGAGGGACAGGGGGCTGTGTTGGCACAAGTCAGGGCAAAGGTCGCGTCCCCGAATTGGGCGGAGTGAACGGAGTAGGAAGGATCATCTCTCTACGATTCTGGTTGGAAAGAACGGAAAGGACGGAATGAGGAAGGACGCCTAGAGCATCCTTCGGCCCAAAAACTCAGAAGTGAAGACTAAGTTTTTTAAATGGAAAACAGCAGGCTCCACTCAGGTGAACATATGCATGCACTCGCTCACTCTTATGGGCACTTCAGCTCGAGCATTTCAGTAGTCAGTCTCTGGTTTAGTCAGTCTTGCTTGCTTGCTTGCTTGCTTGCTTGGGGTATGGGTCCCCTGAGGAATCCTGGCCCGAAGGCCTACCCCCTAGGCGCGCGAACGTCTGACGGTACACTTTCGGGGCTGAGTGTTGTCGTGTTCCCCTGACTGCGCCTCTGTTGACCCCCCCCGAACAAACACCCCTTCTAAGGCCATCACCACTGTAAGAGAAACCTTGAGGCCCCAGTCAGGTCTTCCACGAGCACTCCAACGGTCGGCTATTAACAGGAGGGCACACGGTCGCTGCTTCCCCCACAACTCGAATGCTAGCAATCCCCCAACAAAGAGAGGTATATGCCTACGGCCATACGGCTGTTGGTCCCTCCTTTCAGAACACTGTCACGGGAGCTCCACTCCCCTGACCGCACAGAAACTATTGCTACGGCATCCCCACCTGACCTGCCTCCCCACCTGATCCCGAACAACAACCTCGAGCAGCACTGCCTATACCTTCCCACCCCAGCGCTAAACCTTTCCCCTCGCCATCTGTACTGTGTTGTGGCAGGGGTTATTTCAATCCCTAATGGCGGGTGCGAGAGAACAGGCGGCGTCAGTCAAAACATGCGAAGCAAAGGCACTGTAAATATACCCCTTAATCACCGTGTCGCGCCCCTGTCCTCAGCATCCTCATCTCTTAGATAGGTCCAGCCGTCGCTCCCCGATGACACATGAGCAGCAAGCAGCACTTCCCCTATCCCCCTACAGAAAACGGTCATGAGGTTACGTCAGTGATCGTTGTCCAGTGAGCTGGGGCTTGTGAACGCCCGTCTCCGGCGTGTCCCCCCCTGGGGACTTTCCCCCTCACTGGGGTAGTTCCCCTCAGATGTGTTTGCGGTGGGTCGGAACTGGCCGCCCCACGTCCAGGGTTGTTTGCCAGCATCTCGTCGTCGCTACTGAGGAGTTGCACTGCTTCTCCCCAGTGTTCATGTATCCACAAGCCGTCCAAGGTTCAAGGGTTAGACTCTAACGTTCGGCTTCACGCAAGACTTTGCTCTAAACATGTCCGCGACATATCTGCTTACGACGAGGGAAACCATTAGAGGCTTGCTCCAAAAGCCTGCTCCTTGTGCCACACGTGCGGCGGGATGCATGGGAACTGCTGCTTGTAATGCTTCTGCCTAGTGGGAGAGCTAAAAAAAAGTGGACTACGTGACTAAGTGCAGCCAGCCATGCTCGTTTTTGTGGTAGAAGCAGAGGTCGTCCACTTGGGCCAACGCAGTTGGGCTCTCTGCGGCTTTCCTCGAGTGTCAGCTGCAAGTCTCCTGCACCTCGTGTTAAGCCCCCTCGCTTGCCCCTGTGGCGCAATGAACACCCACGGCTGCTGGCAGCCGAATTGCCGCGGTTCACTGCACGCCACGATGTTCTCCGGGTGTGGCCGGACTGTAAAGCCCGTTGACTGTTGTCACTGGCAACTGACCCTAAACGGCCCTAAACGAAAAAATCGACTTGCATCGGAATGTTGGACCGCGTAAACAGCTTTAATTGCCAACGTTTTGCAGCTCCACTCAACGTCCCAAGCACACGCCACGAAGTCGCGCTTGGCAGCAAAGCCCTGGACCTACGGGCCTATCGTTCATGAAGAACAGAAATTACAGTGGAATTCCATCACCTCACTCACTGTGAATTACGAAGATTGAGGGGAATCTGTCAATACGAACAACAGACGCATAGGCATGCACGGTCTTCCATCCAGGAATAGTCAAACTGCAAGATAACGTGGAAGCCCGAAACCCTGCAACCACCACCCTGTCAACAAAGACGGTTTTGAGCAAATTCTCCAACAATGTCAATAATGAAATATTTTTTGCGGTATGTGGTGGTGACCAATAAAATGGGATCAACGTTCTAAAAAAGCGAGCATTGGCCGCTGACCACATGCACTCCTTTTCTTCGCCGCCACCACCCAGCCCCAAGGCAGAAGAATGTGCTCGATGAAGTTGATAGCCATGCGGATGCCAAACATAGCTAAGGTTGGAGAGCATCCGATCATTGTACTCCTCGCAGGTGGCATGAAAAACTTTTTCATCTGCAATGGCCTGCAATCAGGCAATTGTGACACTGCCGCGCTGCTAACGTTACACTCAAGCACAGCTACGAAGCTACACATCAGCCAGCAAGCGCCGCCAAGCTAGAGATTTAATCTTGAAATGAACCTGCAGCTCTTCCGACGGCTTGCTGTTCCAACCTGCACTCGGTCGGGACAGTCCGGTGGACTTCGCCAGTCCACTGTGTTGCCCAGGTGCAGCTTGGGGGGACAGTCCTCGGCTACTGAACTTGTGATTCTCTGCATACTTCGAATACACAAAAACTGGGCAGAATCAATCATATGCACAAACATATTTATGACGCGCCATGCCGCGTCAGAAGATGGATGTATAATGCAAGGGAGCACTATCCCCGGCAGCTTCCTACGAATACCCTTGATCTGCCGTCCAGTGTATGGGTTTCTCCAAGCGTCGGCTTCGTGGTTCAAGGAGCCCTTGAACATTGAGAATGACACCTGACATCTTTCTGCAAGATCGCCGAGGGTAACAGCGGAAATGTTCGAACTATGCCTGGCTTCTGGGAATTGCTTAGCCTATCCATGCAGGCTGCCAGGTTCCTCGGCTCCCGGAACTCAGCTTCCGGAATACGCTTAGTTTACCTGCTCTTCACACGTTGCACTTCACACTGGTTACACGCAGCTGGAGCTAGGATCCGACAAAAACACAACCAAAGGTTGGGGGGGGGGGGGCGGGGCCGGGCCCAGGGCTTTCGCCTGATAGCTGCCATCGGCACTGAAAGTACAGTTCCTCGGGACAAAAGGTCATGAGCACAAAAAGCCACACGTGCGGACAACTCGATGGAACACCCTCCCCCCTCTTCCACAACTACCGAGATGCGACAGGTCTGCTGCAAGGCTGGCCCCGCCAAGCTGCTCCTGGGCTTCCCATTCCGGAGTTTCTGTGCATCTTTTTGGACTTTGCTGGGCTTCACAACAAACACTCCTTGTGCGACGGTTGTGGTGCTTGGACTAGTGCAAGGGTTGATGGTCTCACACTGCCAAGTCACCAGAAGTCGCATGCGGCCTTAGTTAGTTAGCTAGTTAGCTAGCTAGCTAGCTAGCTAGCTAGCTAGGTAGGTAGGTAGGTAGGTAGTGCGTGTGGGTAGGTAGTGCGTGTGCGTGTGCGTGTGCGTGTGCGTGTGCGTGTGCGTGTGCGTGTGCGTGTGCGTGTGCGTGTGCGTGTGCGTGTGCGTGTGGGTGTGGGTGTGTGTGTGTGTGTTTGTTTGTTTGCTTTTGTCTATGTGTACTGGAACAAAAAATGGCAGGGTGCATTGTGTTTCAGGACATCTTGGTGGCACCCCGCAACTCTTCACAATTGGTCGTGGCATGTGTGTTCAACTAGTGCGACTTCAAATACTGCGATGCAGTGCCATTGGAACCACCACGTTCCGGAAGATGCCTGCTGCAACACAACTCTCTCTCTCTCTCTTCTTCTTCGACACAGCCAGAGAAAGGACCCGTCCGAGCCCCCTCTCTCTCTCTCTCTCTCTCTCTCTCTCTCTCTTTCTATATATATATATGTATACATGTAACTATACAGGCTGCACAAGGCTGGACGCTAGGCTTGTCGGCCAAGCACCTGAAGCGCACCAAGTTGTTCCAGACACCAAGTGGCTGCGGATCAAACTCGTCGATTGGGCTGAAAGTCCCCGTTGATGCAGCTTGGCCTGGTGCTAGAGAGGTGTCCTTCCCCTCTCTCTTTGAACATGCCCCGCAGACTGCAAGGAAGCCCGAGCAGCCCTAGCAACACTCGCACTGCGTCCCCCACATGGCCAGCAAGTCCTCCACACTACCCCAGACCGGCTTAGCACGGGGCCGTCGCGTTGTTGCTAACTCTGTCGTGCTCCTTCGAAACTCAGGAAGGACATCGCAGGGAGCAGGGCAGAATCAGGAGCAGATACAGACTTTCACTAGATGCGGTTGAACTTAGTCGTATGATTGAAATAAAACCCCAAGGCTGCCCCATGAGCAAGCAAGAAAGAAAACCACAGCTGCAGTCGTGGCTCAACTACCAGTGGCAGCGCCAAACAGGGCCGGCCACTGACGCGCCCCCAGAGCTCACCTCGATCGTACCAGCCTGGGCGATTCAACGTCTCGGATGTCTTGTTCAGGATGGGAAGTTTGTCAGACTGGAATAATACTGAAGGAGGTGTGGCCTACAGGCTTGCAATCATCTGTCGTGCCGCGCGTGACTCTTGCAATCATTCAGTACGCCACATTTTGCATCCCGGCTCTTAGGTGCTGGGGCTACGACTTCAAATTCGTCAGCTTTCATATTGAAAAACGATGCGCTGTAGGCTGGCAGTCCGGAATTACGACAACAACCAGTTCCTGCACTGAAAGGCGCAGGGATGCTTTGCCACTTGTAAGCCGAACAGAAGGTTCGCAATGTTCGCATACATGTTCGTTCAGTGAATAAGGATGCATCTTCCAACTCAACCTGACTCAACAGGCTAAGCAAACATAAGCTTCCAGTGCACACCAGGCACGTAGCAGCTGTACCTCAGCTCGCTCGGCTCTTGCACCAAGTGTTGACATGCGCGCTTCTTGAATCTTCAGGGTTCGCTTCTCCGCTTGATTCCAAGGACTACTAAAATAGTCTTCGTCAGCGATCCAGTGTTCCCAGTATGCTCTGCTGTCGAGACACAGAAACCCTTGGACATGGAAGCCTGAGACAAGTGCGGCAAAACTCGAAACTTCCGCGACCCTCTCAGTCTGCTGTCAAACAATCGCGGCTGGAGCGTGAGGAGAAGCCCAAAGCACAGGCCCGAGCATCTCGACCTTTTCATCTGCAAGACTGCTTCGAGGATTAAAAGCAAAAGTGACTGCAAGACGTTTGCTTCGCCTCAGCATCTGGTGGCCACAGCTTCCGTTAAACTTAAACCATGCGAAACCTAATGCAATTCGGCACCTTAGTCTCCCTTTGCGGACTTCGTGGCACCAAGTAGCACGACCTTTGCATGCTTGACCGTGTCCTTGACACCGAGTATTTGCCGGACGAGCGGGGCCTGACCGACCGTGCGGAAATCTGCGCACCAACTCGAACGGTATGTATACTTGCCCTGGACTCGGCCGAAGCGGTCAGAGGTTCTCACAAAAATTTTCGATTTCCCAACCTCTTGATCCCCTCCGCAGTGCGGCCCGCTTGGATTTCGGGTTGGCAACCCCCTCCCCGGCGCGTTGGCGGGTGAGCGCGCGCGGGCGCGCGGGCGGTGCGGGCGGGCGGGCGTGTGGGCGGGCGCGGGCGTGCGGGCGTGCTGCGGCGGTGTGCTGGCGTGCGCATGTGCGTTCGTGCCTGCGCGTGCGTCTTAGATGGCAGTTGATTGTCCCAGTCCGCAAAGGATTGATCGAGTGGATTGATTGAGTCTGGATATATTGATTATTAAATGGTCAAGTGTGCATATTGAATGTTGCAGTGCTGCAGAGCACTGGAAGCTTTGTTTAGCCCCGCAGGCTCAAAGTGATGCTGAAAGTGCTAAGTTGAAAGATTTACCAAGGTTCGCCGGACGACCGGCTATCATGATTGCAGTCAGGACTGACGGCACTGACTGCAAACTGCATTGCATGCTCCGCTTGCGCTGCCTAGGAGCCATGTCAACGAGCCTGTTGAACGAAGGATTGGCCTTCAGAGAGACTGGAGAATGATCTCATATCAATCAGACTGACTGACTGGTTTCGTTTCCTCAGTCACTTGGCACTCGACATACGAAGTCCGGAGGCAGACCGATTGATGACGACGTGATGATTAGGTTGATAATGCAGACACCACTGGTGCTTTGTGTCAGCAATTGCGAATCAATGAAGCAAGCATGCGTGCTTCACATGCAAATTTCATTACAAGTCACTTGAGTATACCCGAACAACACGGCCTATGATTGCATTGAGAGCCTGAGAATGAAAAAAAAAACCAAAAAAAACAAGAATGGCAGGAGAATTGTATGAGACGAGAACGTACCAGCAGCCAAGAACGCAATGAACACATGCCGAACGGATCCAAACAGTAAGCATCCAGCAAAAGGTCAGTCTTCCCGAGCATGCCAGCAACGTTGTGGAGACAGTGTGGAGCCTTGCCTCCGGGACGAAGACACAACTGGAATCCGGTAGGAGGACCTCAGCTATCAGCCCCGATGCAAGCAAGGCAGGGTTTCGCTAGTGCGGGTGCTGCGGATGCAACCACGGCACACTCACCGGCAATGCGCCTCTCCATGCCTGGAAAGGGAATCCTCCCAGCAGGACGCCTCGAGCAAGATCTCAGGCCACTATGCAGCTATTCGTGATTTGTCAACTGCACCGCGCTGCCTCGAACCACATGGACTGGCTAGCAACAGAAAGATGTGCCATTTTTCTGATGAAGGGCACTGTCCATCTGCTGGTGAGCAGGCTGGGCTGGATGCCAGCACTGAGGCAGCTGTCGACAGAAAGGGCACCTTGCGACCACCGGCACCAAGCAATGGATCGATTACAGGCACCAATTGCGCTGCGAAGGACACTATGCCCACGCAGCCTGGCAAGTTTTCAGGCTGGAACTCATGAACTCATGAGCACATCGATGCGGGCGAGATTGAAGCTGCTCAGAGGTGTGTCTCTAAACACAGGTGGATGAACGGAGGCACGCGCTTTTTGCACACACACACACAAAGGGGCAGCTCTGCCTCGTTCGCTTGAGTCCGGCACGGCAGCGCAAGGTCAGGAGTGCACACCAACAGCTCAGTCACTGCCTAACGGAAAAGTGCAGGGATTACTCAACAGCTTCCCTAAATTTATGCTGACCTTGCGAGCCATGGTGAGGGCATACAGATTCATGCCCAGCTGCTCTTCAGCCTCCTCTTGACTAAGAAGCTTGTGGGTGGCGGCCTTGCTGCGAGCCCTTCCATCTGACGTCTCACGACGGCGGAGTTCACTCGCCTCATCGTCTATGTGCAGTACCCCGGTGCGCAGAAGGTGAAGAAGTGCCCCATTGCCCTTGCTCAGGTCCGCTTTGGTGAGCATGTCTGCCACCATTCTCTGATGCGAGGTCCACCGCACCACACCTCCTCCCTTGCCCATCGCATCGATGATCGCTGCCAGTTCCAGCGAGTTGCGCCGGTCCTGCCTGCTCGCCGGATGGCTCTTGACCAGCGCATCATACAGAGATTTTGCGTCGGTGATGCTGCACTGCTGCTGTCTGCCTGCCATCGCGCTGCCATTGCGGAGGAGACAGGCGAAAGGCTTGATGACATTCCTCCAGCTCTCTGCCGTGACGTCGCCATGCGTGAGGTCACGGTACAGCACTTGCATCCACTCAATCTCTCCAAGGCACTGAGAGAAGGCAAGGGTCTCTGATGCCAGGGTACTGGTAACCCTTCTCTTCAGCTTGGTCGATCGCCATGACAATACTGAAACACGGAGGTGCTCGTCGTGGATGGGCACTCGGTCACTGGCCAGCACCAGCCAGGAGCCTTGGACTGGGTCTTCCAGCATTCCGTCTGGTCCGTCTCCGTCTGTTTGCCCATCCACCCCGCCGGCGTCGCTGATGCCAATGAAGCACATCTCCTCGGGCCGGAAGCGCCTCAGGCGAATGCCCTGGCGCGGTGTTGAGCGAAGGTGTCCCACCATCTTGTTCAGGGTGATCACGTCGCTGATGGTGGCCCGGTTCAGGCGTGAGCTGAGAATGCTGGTCAGGCCTGCCGCCTCGGGCCGCGCCTGATGTGACAGCCAGCTCACCTTGTAGAGCATCGACCGAAACTCCTCAGCTTCTTGAGGCAGCAGTTCACTGTTCTTCTGGGCCCGACGGTTGCGGCTTAGCTCCAACGGCTTGAGCTTCTCGAGCACGTACTTTTCCTGATGCATGTACACATCATTCTCCGTGATCTTCACTCTCCTCCCGTTGAAGTCCGCCTCGTTGCGAAGCCACTTCCCGAACAGGAACTTACTGCGAAGGCCCTGCAGCAGCTCGTGCTCAGGCTGCACCGCCACGTTGAAGTCGTCCACCTCCACCAGGATCATGGCCTCCACTCGCTCAGCCACGGGCTTGTTGAGGTTCTGACGCACGTACAGGCAGGGGTCGAGCAGCGACTTGCGGAAACCCAAGTCCTGACACAAGTACTCCTGGACAGTCTCGGCCCAACACACTGGAGCGTCCTCTAACCCGTACACCGCCACTAGCAGCTCCACCAAGTCACCCGGCTCGGCGTCGATGCCGGAGCAGGGTTCGGCGAACAGTCGCCCAGCTGCTCTCTTCAGCTTCTTGCCTTGGCAGAACGCCGACGTGACATCGCCGAACACCACATTGAGCCCCAAGTTCAGGGCTGCCTGGAAGAACACATTGATGATCTCGGCCTGTGGTGTCGGAGAGAAGGTCTTGAGCTCGGGGCCGTCTGGGTCATCGAACCCCAGGACGCACCATCGGGACTTGTAGTTGAAGCACCCGACGCCAGGCATGGGTTTCTTTCGACGCACCATGCGGCTGCGCAAAATGCGCCCAGCGTGCTCCTGCCGCAGCTTCTGTGCCTCGCTTCCCTTCCAGACGCGCACTGCTCCCATACCCAGAACGTTGTTCCACTCGGTGGCGTCGGACTCGCGAAAGCCCTTCAGCTCCTCGGGGGTGGCCTTCTTCATGTTGAACTCGTCACTGCGACAGGCCACCAGGACTGGTGCCCCTTCCGCCTCTTGCTTTTCTAGACAGAAGAGCACTGGTTCTGGTCCACAGCTCTCCTCCAGCTCGTGTTCGCTTCGCCGGTTCTCGAGCAGGCTTTGCAGGGTGAGGGCCTCGGAGAACAGCTCCTCCTGGTCGGCGGGCTGCTCCTCCTGAGCCTGCTGCCTCATCTGCTCCAGCTGCTCCGCCTGGGCTTGCTGCAGCGCTGCTCTCTGGACCGGAGGAACAGGTGACCGTGAGCGTCTTCGGGTTGGCTGCTCCTCTCTTGCCACTAGCCGAGGCACCGGGCTCGTGTCCACAGAGCGAGCCGCTGCTGCTGTGCTTCGTCCTCGCTCTTGCTCCTCCTCGTTCTCCTCCTCGACGGTCTCTAGCCCACCTTCTCCGCAGTGGCGCTTTGCCTCTGGTTCGTCAGAGGCCTGGCTGCCTTCGCTCGGAACCGTAGTGCTCTGAATGGACACCCTACGTGGTCGCCTCTCCTCCTCCGCCACTGTGCTCGCTGCTGCCGGTGGGCTTGGCGACGAATCATCCTCCTCCGCACGCGCTGGGCCTGGAGAGAGAATGGGTCCCTCCTCCTCTCGCGGCTCCTCCCACGCATCTTCGGGAGGCGTGCCTTCACGGCCCACATCCACAGCACCGGCTCGCTTGCCTTCCATGTTCTTTAGAAGGTCCTGGTACTGCAGGGACTTGACTACTTCCACACCAAGGGCCTCTGTGCTGTTGGCCGGCCGCACTTGGTCCACGTTACATTTCCACAACCGGGCCCGCATCGCGACCCATACTGTGGTACCTTGGTGAAGGAGCACCAATCCCGGCCCGGACCACCTCGCACGTTGTGGAGCCCTCCGAAAGACGTAGACCCATTGACCTGCAGCAAACTGCTGGTATGGATGTCGTGGTGCTCGGGCCGCACGCTGCAATTTCTCCTTGCACTCCTTCTCAAACATGAGTTCACGAGCCCTCTGCCGGATGATGCAGCTCTGGACGTAGGCTCTTTCGCTTCCCTCCAGGTTCGTGGGGTCGCTTGCCATGGCCTGTCTCCCTGGTGCACTCGCCACCTGGTCTGAGAGAAGTTCCTCAGGGATGCGCGGGTTTCTCCCGAACACCAACTGTGCTGGAGAGTAGCCTGCCCGGGTGTACCACTGGTTCTTGCAAGCGGTGAGGTGGCACAACATGAGATCAACGTCCTCACGGCTGCTCAAGACAGTCTGTCCCTCGGAGAGTTCTCGAAGGAGTCGCCGCTTGATCTCACCCCCGTGCCTCTCGGCAATTCCGTTCTGCCACGGCGAGTCAGCGTCTACAACGTGGTGCAGCACCGAATTCAACTCCAAACCATTCGCAAACTCTTTCATGAACTCGGCCCCGGCATCACTGAGCACCACTTCCGGAGCACCGAAAGGACGAACCCAGGCCTCGTTGAAGGTGCGCCAGGCCTCCTCGGAGGTGGGGGTTCCACCTCGGTGTGGTGTGCCGTCCAGCTCCTTAATCAACATCATCACCTGATAATGCGAACCATGGTCCACCACATTCAGCACTGGCAATGAGACCCCCCTCCACGGCACATACACAGTGTCCACTGCAACTATGCGGTTGAACGTGTAGGTTCTAGGATAGGCCGCCACCCGCCTTCTAACTTCACGTTGTCTACGGTCACACATCTCGCACTCAAACCTCTTTTGCACGAAGTCAAGCACATCGTCGCGGGCGCCGGCGGCCTTCAGCATGATCACCATCCGCTCTTTGGAGAGGTGGCCCAGATTCAAGTGGAGTTTCTCAACTAATGCCTTGACTTCCCGCTCCCGTCGTGCTGTGCCACTGTGCCCCTCATCGGGGCCTTCTGGTGGAAAGCTCCCAACTCCTGCGCCTTCCTGCCACGGCTCGTCGTGCTCCGCCTCGAGGTCGTCGATCCCAATCTCCGCGTTCTCGGGCTGCTCGTCGTCCTCATTGGCCAGGTTGAGTCGGACCTGCTCGATCTCCAGGAAGCAGCTCACCGCCTCTCGTGCCCAGGCCGTGGTCCCCTGGCGCTCGTAGCCTAGCATGGCTCCAGCGTGGTTCGTTGCAAAAGGCCCAGAGCGCCCGCCTCGATGCGACACCATTCCACCGAGCTTTTCGAGGTCCTCTTGGTCGGCCTGGTTGATGCTGCCCATCTCCCACGCCACGGCTCTGCCCTTCTCCATGCTTTCGCGGCACAGCCGGTGGCAAAAGCACTCGGCCACCCGGTGCCGCACCTGGTCCCTCAGCTCCGTCCCTTCTCCCACGCGAGTCATCTCCATCACCAGCAGGTCCGGGTCGAACTTCTGCACCAGCTGCTCAAAGACACGTTGTCGATGAGCCGAGCTGAGGTCCCATCGGTCACCCGCCACAAAGTCAATCACCTCTGCACCTTGGTGGTTGTCGCCCAGCTCTTGCGCTAACGGCTGCGTGCCGCCGTCCCTGACGTGAAAGATGATGGCTTTGCGACGTGGTGCCCTCCTCGGGTAGAGCTTGGCCAGCTCTCGCATTGCCCGCCGCAGCTTCTTTTGCTCCTTGCCCGCAATGGTGTAGTCGGGCTCGCCCTCGAGGTCAAGGTTCACGAGGTGCTCGTGTAGTCCTGGTGCCGGCCACTCGACCAGGATCTCAGAGCCGTTCCCGTCAGCTTGATGACCGCGACATAGACGTGCCCCGTCGCCACAAAGACAACTCGGCACCTTAGCCCCAGCCTTCTGTCCCGCCAGGGTGTAGTAGTTCTCGTTGGGGCCCGCCAGAAGCCGATTCCTTCGTCGATGAGGAATTCTGATCGCGCCTCGTTGTGGCCCCGTCTTGCCCTTGATCTCGCCGGTGATCTCGCTCTGAATCGTGCCTATGTCCTCGTGCTCCGTCTTGCCCTTGATCTCGTCGGCGATCTCGTTCTGAATCGTGCCTATGTTCTCGTGCCCCATCTTGCCCTTGATCTCGTTGGCGATCTCGTTCTGAATCGTGTCCGCCTCGCCGCTCACGGGCCGTGGCCTTGATTGGTGCGCCACGCCGCTGCCGCTGCTGCCATTTGCTCTGCGCTCCACTGGGGACTCAATGCCCCCTCCTCGGCAGGTGCCACGCCGTCCACTGAGGTTGCTGCCATCATGCTCGCGTCGGGCAAGCTTAGCCCAGCTCCCGTCACGGCTGCTGCTGCACTTGCCACCTGTCGCACCTCCTGGACCATGGTGTGCTGGGTGGCCTGCATCGCCTGCATCGTCTGCACCATGGTGCCCATTGTCGCCATCACCTGCTGATTGCTCTGCGCCATCCCATGCAGCACCTGCTGGTTGCACTGAGCCATGGCCACCTGCAGCTGGTGGCTGTTCTCGGCCATGACCTTGCCAATCGCCGCCACCACCTCGGTCGTCTTGCTCTCGTGCTCCTGGCTGCCCGACGCCCTCTCTGATCTCAGTCGTGCTGGCGGAGGCTCGCTGACATATGCGACCGACTTCCCAGCCTTCACCTTCGGGCGGCTGCGGTGGGGCACGTAGCTGATCTTGGTTTGACAGAGCAGACATCGCTGCCAGGAGCCATATTGATTTGCCCCATTGACCACGGAGTCGGCGGGGTGAGTGCATTGCTGATTCACCACCGGCTTCTCGGGAAGCACCCGGCGGTGCAACAGACGTGTCACGAGTCCCTTCCACTTGTGCTCGGCGCTGCTCTCCATGTGACGCGAACCGATCAGCACGGGGAGGCTCACTGCCGCTTCGAGCCAAGTGCTGTGTCACAACGGCCATGTTCTCATTCACGCGCTCGGCTCTCGAACTGCGGTCTCCTAGTGCTTCTGCTGCTGCTGCACACGCTTCCCCTTGCAAGCCACACTTCACGAACTCACTCGGCAACTGTGCTGACCTACCTCTGCAAAGAAGAACGTCCTGGTCCCCAACCCCATCTAGCATGTATACCTCCACGGCGGCCCCGCTCAGCTTCACCCCCGTGTTGAAGGCACCTTCGGTGAGACCAAACTCCTCCTTCAAATAAGGGGGCGTAGGAATAGAGCCGCCACGCCACACAGCTATATCCACAGCTCGGTGCCCCGACTTGAGCCGCAGCATGGGCTCACTAACGCCGAGCTCCTGGTAGCTCACCGTGTTCCGCCGCATGTCAATGGCAGCCCCCGTGGCCTCCAGCAAGCCCACCGAGATCAAGTGCGGGATGTTCTCCTTGATCACCGTGACACGCACCACTCCCGGGATGCCTGCCAAGATGCACGGGATGAGGGCCTGAAACATGGGGGTAGCTTTTCCCCCGACTCCATGTGCCGACGGTGGCTGGGCCTCCAACTTCAGTGCTCGAAGCCCCTGTGCGCGCAGGCGGTGGCTCAACTTGTCAAAGGCCTCCTTGCCAATCAGGTCCTGGGCCGCGCCAATGTCCAGAATGGCGTGCCCGGGGTCCAGGTTGAAAAAACAAAGCGTCCCGGCCTCGGCCGCCACAGCCAGCGAGACGCACGTTCCGGTGTTGTTGTCCCGGGTCGCTCCTTTCAGGGCCTCGCGGGGCGACAGGTAGTCCACAACGTGCCCCGCCAACTTGCCAAAGCTCTTCCGAAAAATCGGGTAGTCGATGAGGTCCTGGGCCGTCGCGGGGCCGTTGCACCAGCCACTGCCTGCCTCCGGTGCCCAGGGGTCTGGAAAGGAGCTCCAGCCAACGAAAGTGTTAGCGGGAGCTGCCTCGTCTTGGTAGCCCAGGTACACAAAGGACACGGCTCGCCTCCCAAAGTCCTGGCTGCGCGTCTCAGTCTTGCCCCGCTCTTCCTTGGACCGATACGGTTTCTTGCACTCGGCCTTCCAGTGGCCCCTCTCGCCGCAGTTGGCGCAGCGCGTCCGCTCCTTGAGGTCCGCAACCGACAGCCGAGGGCGGCTGAAGACCCGTCGGTCCTTGCGAGCCGCTGCCTTCCTGTCCTTGTTCTGCTTCCAGGTGCGCCGCCTCTCCGGTGCTCTGGCCTGGTCCTTCTCAAAGCCATTGAGCATCTCCAAGGCGACGTCCTCGTCGACGTCGTCAACCTGCGCCAGGAAGGTCTCGACCTGCTCGTCGTAGTCCTCGTCGTCCTCGTCGCCATCCTCGGCCTCCGGGTCGGCAGCCGACTGTTCGCCGACCTCGCCCGCAATGCCCGAGAACATGCCTCCCTTCGCCTTGGTCAGCGGCTCCTCCTCCACATCCAAGGTCTTGAGTGCGCCCACCATCTTGGCCCCACTGGTGAGGGTCCTCAAGTTCTGCACCCCCTGCCTCGTGAGTCCAGCGGTCTCCTCCAAGATGAAGGCCTTGAGCTCAGAGGGGATCGCCAGGTACCGGTCCGCCCCAGCGAACTCTTGCTCCCGACGAACCGCAAACTGCGACAGCGTCTCGTCCTTCTTCCTCTGCCCTTCGAACAGCGCAGCTCTCACAACTCGCCTCTTTTCGGAGGCGTCCTTCTCGCCCGCCAGGCCGTCCAGGATGCTCACGACCGCGTCGAGATAGCCTGGCCCGGCCAGGGTGCTCTCCGGGACATGCTCGAACTTTCCTTGCAGGTCCCAGTCCAGCTGCTTGCTGAGCTTCTCAAAGCGTCTCCACATCGGCACGTCCGTGTTCTGGTTCCATCTGATCAGGGATTTCTTCCACAAGCGGTAGCTCGACCACCCTCCCCAAGCGGGAGGATCGCTGTAGTCGCCCTTTGCGCCCGTTCCGGGCGACCACCAGCCCCACTGCCAGTCACTCCCATTCCAGCCGCCTTGCCCCCAGGAGGCCGATCCCCATGACTGTGCTTGCCAGCCCCACCTCGGTGCACTCGAAGAGGGCTCGTCCTGAGCAGCTGCCGTCGTTGCTGAGTCCTGCGGCCGACTGTGTTCGTCACTGGGTCCTGCTGGAGCCGAAGGTGTCTCCCCGCTAGCTGCTGTAGCCTGCACCTCGGCCCAAGTCGGCCAAGCGTCCCAGCCAGAGCCGCCCCTGTAGTAAGCGCTTCCTGCCGTGCCTTGGTGCCATCCACCGTATGCCATGCGACACTGGATCTAGAGCCGAAGCTCCGCTACCACCTGTGTCTCTAAACACAGGTGGATGAACGGAGGCACGCGCTTTTTGCACACACACACAAAGGGGCAGCTCTGCCTCGTTCGCTTGAGTCCGGCACGGCAGCGCAAGGTCAGGAGTGCACACCAACAGCTCAGTCACTGCCTAACGGAAAAGTGCAGGGATTACTCAACAGAGGCACTTGGCGATACCAACGGCGGCCGCGCTCCAGTTTGTCAAACTCGAAGGCCTGCACCCAAACCTTGGCACAGCGTTTACCCGCAGACCTTGTAAATTGTTGGTAGGCAGTGGTAACAGCTGCATCAATAGCCGATGGCCAAGACTGCACAACATCTGACAAGCAGCATCCCGGCGACTGTTGCAAGTCCGGCCAAGGAACTGCATTGAAAGGGACCAGGGCAGGTCGCAGAGTTCGAGAATCTTTACCCACCAAGGCGCAAGCCAGCTCCTTACTCAGATTCAGTCGCGAAGTGCAGTGGCACCCTGTATCTTCAAGTTCAAGCTTCACCCACGGAAGAACAAATTACCCACAGCTTTACAACCCTCCATCTCCATCCTCAGGCCCTCAAACCTTTCGACTTGTGAATGTTGGAATGTTGCCCGGTTGATTGCACCTGGCTGTGTACTGGCTAACCAGTTGCGAAGTAGGGCGCACGCGAGGCAGTGGATCTGCTACATCTGGAGCTCAATTCGGTCCAGACATGTCCAAAGACTCTTGGACAGGAATACTCGCCCCGGGCGCCCAGGGAGCTTACTTACGAAGCTTCACAAGCAAGTGTCCAACTTTCACTTCTCAGGCGCGGCCACACCGCGGGAGAAAAGGTTGGCCCCCTTGCTCCGAGCAAGCTGCGAAACCTGGCCGGACTTGCTTTTGGCAATCTTAACTGCGGCACTTTCAGTTCTGTGACTCGCAGATGTCGGTTGTGCACGACGGGTTGCACAAGACCGCGGGTTCAGTCACACAAGGACTTGGTCATCAATCTTCTTCTCCTTTTCATATCACCCAGTAGCCAAAGAACCAGCCCTGCTATAAAACGATAGCCTGGCATCTCTTCTTCTGTGTTTGGGGGGGTAAGGCTGAGACCGGTGCACAGCAACGAGACATAGTTGTAGCGACAAGCTGCAATCCCTGGCGCTGCTTATGCACCCTTTTCTGCACTAAGCATATGCGGTAGGCACTGGCTAGTCGCCAGTGCAGTAACCCTACATGGGCCCAAGTGTGAAACATTATTGAGTCCTCCGCCCATCCACTTCATTTGCGGTGATATGTGCGAGGTAGTAAAGCATCTAAGCCAAAAGAGTTGCCTCCAGTTCATGTGGCAGGGTTGACGACTCGCGCATGAGCAAGGAGCAGCCTGGCAGCACACAGGATCTAGACATCCAAGCTGCAAACTGAATGCCGGCCTGTCCAGCCGTCATTCTCGAGTTCAGCCGTGAGGGCCGCTATGGCCTTCGGGGGTGGCGTCGGCCATACACGGTCCGGTCATGGAAGGGTTCAGTCTTTCAGACTAGTTCTCACCGGACACTGATTCCATGCCAACCTTCCACCACTCGAGCGGCGAGTCTGCCAGAATGAGGACGTCCACATCCTGGATAATGCTTCACTGCAGAAGGAGGCATGCCAACATATCAGCAGCCGGATGCAAGGCGTGGCAGCTTCCGGGTTGGACCTGCTTGGCTTTGGCTGTCAAGCTCGCTCCATCTCGCTCTGCTGTGATCCTAGCAGGAAAAAGACCTTGGTGCCGCCCCCAACTGTACGTGCAACTAATTACTAATTACCAAAACCTGATCGCTGCGTGCACATGACGTGTATATGTACTCATGCCAAGATACACATGTATGTACATGTATGTGTACATGTATGTATGAATATACATAATAGGGTTATCAATGCATGTGTTTCTCTGTACACACACATGCATTAGTAGCGTCGGCAGGGTTTCAGTAAAATCCGATGTGGCGAGTGTGCATCAATACGCCAAGGCAGCACAAGCTCGTGTCATGGATCGACCCATACAGAACCTGGCGGTGGAGGTCCAACATCGGCATCAGTCGAACAATAACTGCACACTGCTTTGTAGTAACTGTAGTAACCACCAACCCAGAAAGTAAGATAGACGATGTCAAGAGTAAGGGTCCTTATCAACGAAGTCGATTTTGCCTTCTCCAGCATCCCAGGTCACAGTGCCGTAGCGCAAAAGGGCCAACAGCGTACCACCCGTGAAGAAGAACCTGCACAGCACACGGCATCAATCTGCGGCCTGGAACAGCCTTGTCCTGCTTCACAACCTCTTGACAAGAAACATTAAAGCTCCTAGAATCAAGAAGTCGCTTGCCTGATCGGACTTGCAGCGCTCCATCCTTAAGCGACACGTAGTTTCGACTGCCCTAAACCGCGGAGAATGCAGGTGCGCTTGAAGGATAGGGATGCACGTGCCATGTTCCCTGCTGTCTACCGACACACATGCCGTCTGCATGAACGCTGTCTGCGACAAAGGACCAGGACATTCTACTTTGCACCAGCATTACCTGAACCAGTCTTGAAGCTGCCGGCCGGGCGTCTGTCCCGCAAGAAGGTCAACGCCCGAGCTACGGACAGCAATGCCTGTGACGTTCAGACTCTTGAACTTGCAAACCCGGCCCCGCATCACAAGAGCGGTCCTGCTCCCACAAAGCCACGCTGGAAGCCATCCACATGGCTTGTGGTCCAAACCTCGGCATGCGCACCTTCGTTACTACTCTGAAATCTGGGTGCCTGGTATGACTTGCGCTGGCCGAAATTACCATCATCGGGCAATCTTCACATATTTGCTAATTATTTGTTTCTGGGGGTGGACGAGCTGCTCGTTTGGAACAGAGTCCTAAGTCTCAACACAAGTATGGGTAACACCGAATCCTGCAGGAAGAGCTAGGTTGTTCGGATATCCGCAAATGCCACAAAGAGCGAACACGGTGACGGGATTGGTGTCCCGCTCAACTTGCTGCGAAGCTGCATGGCGCCAGCGGAGAAGTTCTTGGAAACAGGAGTTTCCTGCCCAAAGCATAAGTTGAGTTTGCAGCTTTTCTGACGGTTCGGGATTAAACTTCACAGGACTTGACAATCACATCGACGTTCTTCCTTCGTATCCGAGTGCTCGTTGAGCTGTGAAGGCGAACAGACACATACCGAGGGATCCTACTAGTAAACTGGGCTGGCACTCTACCTTAGAATTTCATCAAAACTCATGGCCCGGTGCGAGGCCTTCAAACCGACGTGCCACGTAAGCGCCAATCTGACGTCAATGTCCCCTGCCCATGTTGGTTTGAACCAAGGACCTTCAGGGCAGCCACGGCCAGCTGTAGTGACTTGGCAGCCGTCGACACCAGAAGCATCAGTAGTCATCCAGGAAGAAACTGTTGCTGCCAAGGCAGGTGCAATCGTACGAAGTCGTCGTCATTACATGACGGTAGGGTAGTCGTCACGGTCGTCGGCATAGGGTTGGTGCTGCCAGCCGTCGCCATTGTCATTGTCATAGTCGTAGCGTTGAGGATAGTGCTTGCGGTGTTGCTCATGGTTAGCAGCTACCAGTTAGTCTAGTACTACTGCAAGCAGGAATAGTACTCGTTGCTACGGTTGTTTTGCAGCTAGCAGATGATGCGGTCGCAGTCGCAGATTGTCGCCGCCAATCCGAGCGTGCAGCATAGCAGGGAATGTCAAAGCACTTTCAGCTTTCACATCTTCCACATCTCAGCCGCCTGGGCTGCGAACATAGGCTTGAAATCGACGAATGCGCAGCTTCGCCTCGCGAGACATACTGAAAAGGAGACCAACCATTCAAATTCCTGCCGACACGTACCTACAATGCAAACCACACACGGCATAGATTGCCACTACAGTCGGATCTTCCACGACGAAGGCGATCGAATATGAAACAATGGCTGTCTGTTTGCGCAGCCCGGCTACAGGAGATACCGCAAGCGCAGCTCGCTGCTTCTCCCTTCCCGAGCCTGGGTCAGCAAAGACTGGCCCAAAGGACCCTGCCGCGAGTTCGTGCAACCAAATCGGCATAAGATTCTGCAAGAAATGCCCAGGGTCAGCTTCTGGAAACGATTGACTCGAGGCAGTGCAGCAAGCCAGGAGGCGTATTTTCGCGTCGCTTGACTTCGCCGAGTGCAATACGCCTTCGAAAGAAAACGCAAATGCTCCAAGTAAAGTTGCAGAAATGAAGCAGAGTACATATCTGATAGAGTCTGCGTCAGAAATGGCACCTCCTTCTCGTGAACAGCTGCCGATGCCAGGATGTGGTTGACTATCCGCCCTGGAGCTTCCGCGGATAAACCTGGCAGCCTCGGGGAGTGGAAAGGCTGCAAAGAGTGCGGCCATCATCCGGGGCCCTGATTTCTCCATGCGATCTCGATAGACCAAACATGTTTTGCTCAGTATCGGCCCAAGAGACGCTGACAGCAGTGACATCTCGGCCTGAACACCAGAGCATCATAGAGCATCTGCAAGACATGCGAACTAACATGCTTCAGCGATGCTCGAAGCCACTTGGGCGTTCCTGCATGTGAAGGTAGGCCCAGTCTTTGCGCACGCTGGTCTCATACGTTGACACTCGGCAGTATTTGCGGTAGCTTTTCGAAAGGCACGTCGCACATGCGTAGTGAGGGCCCCGAAAACGTGGCGAAGCACCTCACTCACACGGACGCGCACACCCGATGGCTTTGTGATGCGGAGCTCGCGGCTTGACCTTCAAATGGGACTTCCAGTGAGCACCACATTCCAGGCAGGAAGGCATAATCGTCATAATCACCTCCTCCAAGAAACGACTGACCTGCTGTTGAGAAGCCCTTCTCGCCTGCAAATACTGCACCAAAGGCAATAGCACTGGGCAGAACATGTCGACCAAGCGCGCATTGTATATGACATATCTCCTTGGGCCCAGTCAGCGCAGGCAGCACTTACACGGAGGGACATGTATGCATGTGTAGGTCTTGCACAGGCCTGTCCCTCTGTGTAGTTGTGTGTGTGTGTGTGTGTTTTTGTGTTTGTGTTTGTGTTTGTGTTTGTGTTTGTGTTTGTGTGTGTGTGTGTTGTGTGGGTGTGTGGTGTGTGTGTGTGTGTGTGGGTGTGGTGTGTGTGTGTG